CCGGACGGGCCCCCTGATCCAATCCAACAAAGCAGACAGTTTTTGTTATCATGAGTGGCAAGAACGACGATGGAATTGGTGTCAACTAATGGGGCGGTGGCGGCGGCGGTGGCTCTTGCCCTTGGACGTTCTGTACCCGCTGGAAGGTCATTAATCATGACAACAACTCCTTTCTATTATTTTACTTTCAACAAATTTCTTTTTTTTTTTTTTTTTGTCATAGGGTATATGGACCATGGACTGGTAATACCGTACTTTCAACAAATTTCTTCGGCCAACGGACTTTTCGAAATCCAAGATAGACGGTGTCAGGCAAATACCTCAACCCGACCAGCTTTCATTCTGAGCTCGCTCCATTTACAACCGGCTGCGCCCACAAAATCAAACTGTGCAAAAATTCCCCCCCCCCCCCCCCAACAACAGACTTGTCGTTTGATTAGCCACTTAAGCCTACGGGTATGTGCGGCCCATCCGGAAACATTGTCGAGTTCATGGACGAGCCTATTATATTTCTGTGCACACATGAATTTTTTGTTTGAAAAGTCCTCTGTCACAGATAAATCGAGTCCCCCCAGAAAGGAACAAAATTCACATGTAACAAAAAAACTAAGCAAAGTTCAAACAAATAAAAGGTGAAGTATCCAATTTTTTTTTTTTTTTATTGTCCCATTACTTTTGTGGTTAAAGAAGAAGCATAACATTTGCTAACAAAATACATTAGTGATGTATGCCTGGAGTGGTAACAAGCAGCGATCATCTGAACAAAAACCCTACCCGACAAGACCACAATAAACAAGCATCCACCACACAATGTGTGAAACAGAAAAAATGAGTAGTAAACTTGGTACTTCAGAGCAAGACCAGGATTACATGTTCCTTTGCAAGGTCTGGCCTTGTGAAGCTCTAGTTTGTCAACTTGTTCACATCATGGAAGACGAACCATCCTATTTACAGCTGAATCCAAAGCATCTACATTCCTCCTGAGGATTTTTCTTGAAAGTATTAAGGAAAGGAAAATTTTCAGATTGCACAGGATTGAAAATGTAGCAACAGAATAATTAGCTGAAACTTCTCAAAACAAGCATATAAACACTTGTTGAGGGCAACACAAAGTTTCACAATTTTGCCCAGCTGTATCCATCTGAATAGCGGAGGAAGCAAATTAAGTACCCAAGAACAACATAGTTCTTTAAAATATGGTCAAATCACATCTAGCAGGAAGGATAAAGGAAACAATGCAGAAATCTCCCTGGTACCTAACTTTCAAAATAAAAAAAATGCAGAAAGGTCAATCACCCACCCATGCATCTCAGACATAAAAGACGAGTGGAGGATGCCAATTGCATAATATGAGAAAAAGGATACAACTGCGAGGCAAGATTGTCAATCCCTTTCATTTCCTCGTTTAATCTGCAAAATAAGGAATCATTGCAAAGCAAATTAGCCATGTTCTGGGATGATAGGGTGTCAGAGAAAAAGAAAACATAGAGAAAGATCTTTGCAAATATGAGGGAAGTAAACACCCAGAAGACGAAAACGTATCCATAACATCATTCATAACTCCTAACACCAGCCTCAGCCTCTCTTTCCGGTTCCCAAAACCCCTCCATTAACATCCATTAAGGCACTGGGAAGGAAATTATCAGATGGAAAAAGGCAAACAGGAGCTCATAGCTTGTTATATAATTTTCCACTCTGAACTTTGTATGATGAATTCACAAAAGGCTTTAAGTACCAGTGAGTATACCTGAGACAGGAATTTATATAACGATTTCCTTTTGTAGCTGCATCAAGAGCTGGACCAAAAAAACAGTAGTATCCAGTTATATATGATATTAACATCCATTAAGCAACGTCATTCAAGTAAGATAATGATTACCAAAAAAACAAAAAGGTAGAATGAAAGAAAGATAAAAAAAAACAAGTAGATGAACTAAAAACAGAGAAGTCAGTTAGGCAGTATAAAAAGCCAAGAGATGTTGCATATTCTCATCTATGCATCTTAGAGAAAGTTCCAACCCACTCAAAAATTAATATCCTGATGTGACAATAGAAGATCCATTCCACAGATTTTACAAGTGCCAGGATCCATGGAACAAAGTTGCAATAATTGGCTGACTTAAGGTTTTCACCTTTTATCTCATTTTCCCTTCACTAAATGAAGTTGTGGATTGTTTTCCAACTTGAGGAAGGATCAAGGTTTTACCAATTTTCGATGCCTGTTGAGGATTCTAAAGCATATTTCAGGTATTTTAAACCAGGTAACTCCTATTGGTATTATGTTATGAAAAAAACAAATGGAGATGACTAGATTAACTTCAAAAGATGGCTAATAGGTAAATGCTGAAAGCTAAGCCTAGACAGGAGGTAGAACAAAGATAAGAAAACCAAATATTAATTTTGTAGTTTAAAAGATATGTTAATATGTTTTTACAAGAAAAGCATGTACTCCATGTAGCAGGAAAAGGAGTTGACATTGCATGCAGTACAAATGCCGCCTTTTCTATTGTCATAAGTAGGCAAGCTCCTAGTTAAGACATCAAGATGCGTAAAAAATGAAAGAAATGCACCATTGCTGGAAAAGAAAGACAGCCATGGAAGTACATATTGTTGATGAACAGACAATTTCCTATTAAGCAATGACTATTCGACCTCAGATCTCAGTGAATAACTCCCATGGAAAATGAGTTAGCCTGAAATACAATCTATAGCTGATAATCACGACCAATGTTGCCTATTAGGAACTCACAAGACCATGCTTTTTGTAGTCCCCAGAGGGAAAACAGGGAGGGCACTTGATAGCTGCTGATAGTCGATGCCCTCCCCAGGCTTGTAGAAAGTTCAAACAATTTGATGGGCAATGAAAATGGAATAGATATGCCTGCAAACTACATGAAAATAAGATGATAATTGAATCCTAAGTTTGTGGAATTTCCTACACGATATTGGTAGTTAGGAGCTATGGCTACTTCTGCTTCAAGTTTGTATTTAACCGTGGCTTAGTTTCATTTTCCATATTGGACCTTGCTGCCTTAGAAGGAAGCATCCCAGCACACGAGGCTAGATACTGGGACGACCAGAAGAAGGCATGGCATTGAAAACAAAACTTCCCTCAACACAATGAAATCCATAATGGTCATGGATGGTCAATGAACAGTTGACAAGAAGGGTTTTGGCTATATAAAACTGAAGAAGTCATGAAAAGAAAAACAACAAGAACTACAAAAACATCAAATTATGTAGCTAAACTTTTATTCAAGATAGCATGGAAAAAGCACAGTGACACGTGTCTCTCATTAGGAACTATTCTATTTAGCCTGGAAAAAAATCTGTTCTTTGAGCTTTACCAGATTCTTGAAGACGTCCAGCTGCATCACTGAAGCAACTCATGTGATCCACAGAAGTTCTTGTAACCTAGTGAAAATATAATCTCACTCAAAAAAAAACACACACACACACACACACACAAAAGAAAGAAGCCAATTTACTACGATATGCACAGCTGATAATCAATTTATCAACCCAAATATGACAAGCTTATCGAAAAATATCAACTTTAGCAAGCTCTACATTCTACACCTTGGATCAATAACACCAAACTACAACTTTTGTACTAAAAAAAAATCCCAAAAAGTCACAGAAAGACGATATAAAGCACATGAACAACTAAACATGTATATTCATGTTTAAGATTTCTCATTCTTATTCTTTATCATCAGGCAGGGAGGGGGATCACCAGGACTTGAAGACTGACCTCCTGCACTATAGAGCATGCATGATGCATCCGCTATTGGGATATCAGCCCAATTGCCATTTATGTTCCAGCATTGAATAACTTTTTCCAATAAAAAAAAAAAGTAAATCAACGACTTTTTTTATTATATATTTTTGCAAAATAATATCTCCAATTCAGGGGGAAAAAAATAATACAGTATATATATATTGGGTTAGCTCAACAAAGATTGTAACTTTCCTCCCAGAAAAAAGAGAAAAGTAAGAAACTGCTCCAATTAATTTCCAAGAGTTTCTCAAGCTGTTGCACAGTCGCTGAAAGTAAAGATGAAAGCTGATATCTAAGCAAAACAACTAAATTTAATTCACTTCCATTTTAAAATTAAAACCCAAAAAATTAAAAGAAAAAAAAGAACTTTTGACGAATTGGAGGGGACCTGAGAGAGAGCTAAACGGAGAGAAGCGAAGAGAGATGCGAAGCTCTGAGCGATCGCGACCGAATCTCTCTCCACCACTTCTACTGCTTTGAGTACATCCTTGCATTCAGGAAACGAGGTCGTTTTGGGTTCTTCCTTCTCATTCCTATTGACAGGATTTTCTTCTGCTGCTTCTTCTTCTTCTTCATTAAATTTGGGAGAAACGGAGTTCTGGTGACGTGGCTGTTGCTCATTGGTCCCAGGTTCCGGCGCTATGCTATCGTCCGACTCCATTCGCCTGGGGAAATCGTTTCTCAGTCGCAAGGTGAACAGTAGTTTAACCGTAGTGCACTCTAATTGATTTCGGGGCAAAATCGGAAAAGCACTTAACATGAATCTCTTTCCCCGTCTTCCTATGAAGGTTTGTCCCAAAAAAAAAAAAAAGGCAAAATATAAAGAGCAGACGGTGCCTCCGACTGAATAGTTACTTTTTGTAATTAACTCTTGTATTATCAAATGTTAATATCTATAAAATGTTACTGTTTGTTTAAAAAAAAAAAGATGGTGCCTCCGGCTAGTTCCATAACCTATAATTACCAGTAGATCCGTGATTGGTTCGGCATGCAACTTCGAGGAGTGAATGGCCCAAAAGGTCACTAAATTATTGAAAATGGCATCCTTTCGTCATCAAACTTTTTTTGTGATCCAAAAAGTCACTAAACTCACAAAAACGCACTAGCGAGGTCATTTTACTGATTTTTAGCAGTTTTTCATCCGGTGGCACCGGCAATGTGGAGTGGAGGAATATTTTTTAAGGGGCAAAAATGTCCAATAAAATATGACAAACCTGTTTTGTCCCCGCAAGCCGTGCCTTTAGATCTAAAACTTCATTGAGCCCTTCTTTCATCTATTAGACAAATCTTCTTTCATCTTCCCCACTCTTGCGGCTCACCACTTCAAAATCTACTCTTGTGGCTCTCGGAATGCCATGACTATAATAGACTCCGACAAGACTCTTATTTGCCTCCGCAACGCCTGCAATTTCGTCGGCAACCTCGTCAGGTTAAAAGGGCAGTTTCTTTTCGTCAACACCAACACCCTTTTCGACGAAATCAGCGAGGAAATGACGAAAGCTATTGGGATTAAGAATGACAAGTCGTGGCGTCTTGAAGGCTTTTTAACAAACAGTTCGAGTCCCAAAAAGTTTCGCGGCCGGAATAAGAAGTTGAACTTAGGAGCCATTCACGCTCCTGATTGTGTGGTGATTTTCGATACGGAGAGGAAGTCTTCGGTTATTTTGGAGGCTGAATGGTTGCAAGTTCCGATTGTGGGGCATGTTGATTCGAGTATGCCGTGGGAAACTTATAAGAAGATTACTTATCTGGTGCGTGCCAATGATTCAGTTCAATTTGTTTACTTGTTTTGTAATTTGATCACTAAAACTTTTTTGTATGAGCAAAGAAAAATGAAGACTGCACAAGGGGCAGATGATTTAACCGCTGGGACTCGGTGTGAACTCTACTAATTTTACTTTTTGTGTTCATTTTTGAAGAAAGAAGATTTCTCTCTGAATAGATGAAAGAGAGACTCAATGAACTTTTAGATCTAAGGGCACGGTTTGCGAGGGAAAAACAAGTTTGCCATATTTTGTTGAAAATTTTTGCCCCTTAAAAGATATTCATATTGCCAATGCAACCGGACGAGAAACCGCTAAAAATCGGTAAAATGACTCCGCTAGCTCGTTTTTGTGAGTTTAGTGACCTTTTAAGCCACAAAAAAAGTTTGATGGTCAAAGGGTGTCATTTTCAATAGTTTAGTGACCTTTTGGGCCATTCACTCCAACTTCGAGACAAGGCACTCCTAAGTGAAAAAAAATAATAAAGGATGGCTAAAAATTATTTGGAAAAAATTGTTCAAAACGTTCTTTATATTTTATAAAATGATTTTTTTCGTCTCTCACTATTAAAAGTATAATTTTATATACCTCACAAATTCACATCAGTCAAATTTGATCCCCTATTTAAGTTTTCAACTAATTTTTTTTATTGAAATCCACTATGTGCCTTGCACGTGATCATTTTTGAGGGGTCAAATTGTCAAATTTCATTTCACATAATTTGATCCATAGGTTCTCACATTTCACAAAATAAATTTTTTCGTCCCTCATATTTTGTAAAATAAATTTTTTATCCCTCACATTTCACAAAATGAATTTTTCATCTTTCACTAATCATGTGTGCGAATAGCTTTTTTTTGCTTTTTTGAAAATACATGTATATATCTATATAATTTCTTCTAACAATACGAATAGCACGTATTATACGTGATCATTTGATTTCATCTGTATTAACTAGTAAAAAGTCTTGCATTCATTGTCAAGTTGGCCAATAAAGCTATTCCCGATCAATATATATTCTTAATATATATTTCAAAAAATAAGCTATCCACGCAAATTCTTAATCCTATCACTCTTGTATTTTTCAGTAGAACAACTTTTCACCACCATCATATTGTCTGTCTACCCCTTGGGAGGAATAAAATTGGACTATTCAAACTTGTGCAAACTAATTAAATGTAGCAAAAAACCAGTTATTATTGGCATATAACTATAAATGAATCCAATATAATTTTTTTTTTTTAAAAAAAAGAAAAGTTAGAAAAGCCCAATACTAGAGGGGGACCAATTCAGAAGCTAATCCTGCTCCGACCTCGGCCATATGTTTAAAACACTCCGAAACAAACAAACAGTAGAAGGCGGGAATACGAGTCCAAAATAAGGGGCCAGGGCCAGGCTGCCCCACGATTCAAAACCTGCAAAATCCATTAGTCCTTAACAAAAACACGTACCAAAGCAAATTTATTTTTAAAATATATTAAAAAATAAAACCAAAGAGATATTAAAAAAAAAAGATAGGAGTAAAATATTTTGAACTTTTTTTAACAAAAAAAAAAAATTCTTTTGATGGAGTTTTAAGCTTCATTTTCCTTTAAAGAAAAATAAAAAAGCTTCATTTTGCTTTACCCAACCCAACCAATTAAAAACCCAAGAACCTTCCCACAAATCAGGACTTATTTGTCAAATGTCAATTCAAATTTCCACATAATAATCATTACGCAATCCTCTTTTCTTCACTTCTAAAATACACCTTCCCCAAAAGCTGTTTCTTCTTTCTTTTTCTTTTTCTTTTTACATTTTTTGATGCATTCACCGATCTGTATGTATCCCAAGCGCTGCTGTGCTCCAATTCTCGCTTTCTCCCTCTAGATCTCCTGCATTTCGCTACTCCTAGGTTCGTACCATTTTTCTAGGTTTCCTTCCTTTTATAATTTGTGAAACCAGTCTTGATATTTAATGTGATTATCTATCGGTTCAAGATTGAGTTTTTTTTTAAGCTTTAAATTCTGTTTATGAAAATGTTAATTGTTTGCTGAATGTGGATTAATCGTTGGTTTAAGCTTTAATTTTACCAAGTTTTAAGTTCTTATGAGTTTAATGACGCGCAGAATTCACAGACTACGCGCGTTTAAGCGTTGCAGTTTACGTGGATTATGGTGACTTTTTTTTTCTTTTATCTGATCATGATTTTTGTGGATTTTAAATCTTTTTCCTTTTTTTTTTTGAGCTGCAATGTTTTAGAGATGAGTTGGAGCTTATGTGCTTCTGTATGAGCAAATTATGTTGATAAAATGCTGAATTTGGATTCATGCATGTGTAGAAATGGCGAAAAGCAAGCTGAAAATGTAGGAAAACAAGTTTATTGCTTCCATCTTGGGAATCTTGTGGCTAAGGGCTATGGGAGAATTTTGGATCTGGCCTTGCTTTCACAATGCTGTAAAGTTTGTTGGTTGGGATGTGCTTGTGAATTTGAATTGGAAAACTATGAGCTATAGTTGAGCCAATCAGACCTGTGAATGAGGAAAAATCTAAAGAAAAGTTTCTAACTTGACTAATTGTAGTACCTAGAAGGGGGTAGTTATATGGGCTTGAGGATAAGCACAACGGTAGCTACTAAAGTGGAAAACTTTATGAAGCTTAGTTGCTTTATTTGAAGTTTTATGGACAAAACACTAACTTATGCAGCTGGAGAGTATGATATAGTTTGATGTTTGTAAATGGCAGAAGCCATGTCTGTGGGCCTTTTTAAGTAGCCCCCATTCATCAATTTGTTTTTGGTCAGATGCAATTTTGATCTTGAAAATATTAGTGAAGATTAGCTCTTCTATTTGTTTTTGACGGCTATTGCTCGGCATTTATCAAGAACTTCAAACGTAAAGATTTTTATCTAGGTTTCTATCTTCCCTTCCTAGGTTAAGATTGAGCAATTGAGTTGGATCTTCTCTGTGGGTGAATGACACTTTACGTGATCTTTTATGTTATGTATGAGTGCACAAAAGCTCGGGGATAGCATGTGTATCCTATCATCAGTGTTTCTTTTTTTGAGAAGTTCAAGTTCTGTTTTTCTGATAAGATGTCACTGAAATATTCGTTTCTAGGAGTTGTTCCATATTATATCTACCAAATCTGCTGTCAACATTATCATGCATCGAGATTCGGATGTCTATGAAAATGAAAATGGGGATCCAGGTAGTTTGAATGAAATCCTCAATGGTGATGTCTCTGAAAGAAGAGAAAACTCTAAAGGTACATATGAAGGTACGTTAGTCGTCAATTTTTCTTGATCATATGTGTTTTATCGTTTTTCCCATCTTCTAAATTATGAGAACAACATTAATCTGTGATAACTCAAGAAGTATGGACAGGCTGGATCCTAAAGTCCCTTGGAACTATTGCACTCTGCTGAGCTAATAAGTACAGCTTTTGCTTTAATATTTTTCTTTGGGTCATTACAATTTTTCTACATCTATAATGGTTGCTAAACATCGTTCAGAAAGTGCTTCGTTGTTTAACTCCATTAGTCAGCCTAGATCGCCGAAGAGCTTGGTCTGGTGACTAAGGTTGAAGCTTTAGGAATTAGATGGTCTTGGGTTCAATTCCCCCCTTCTCCCTCCCTGCTTTTTAAATCCCGCCCTGCATTATTAAAAAAAAAAATAATAATAAAGAGTCAGCCTAGATCCTCTGCTTTCTATTGAAAGCTATGTGGTTTGCACTTTTTAAGCTCAATATGAAGTGGAGTTGTATGGATAAGGTAAGGTGGTACATCAGCTAGAGATCTCTGCATGTCCTGTAATTCTATCAGCCTCTTTCACCCATGCAGGACTATCAGCTGCAGCAATTCATCATGAAGGGAGTAAGTTCTCTGATATCTTTCCATTGAAGAATGGATCTTTTGCTGACCTTCCAGCTGCTAGGATTTCAGAAATGATGAAGCTGAACAGTCTAGAGGTAGTGGACGTCACTTTTCCTCTATCAGGAAAGAGTGGAACTTATTCACTCGTTTATTTCATTTATAATTTTCTCGACTATATAGCTTGTGCTCTCTTATAATCTGAGCTATACTTTTCTGCAGAATGCCTCCACACCATCACTTTTTAGTGTTGTGAATGCAATCCTGGACGAAAGCATTGAGAGAAAGAATGGTGACATACCTCAGGTATGGAAGGTGGCAAGCAACTTACCAGTGCAAGAATGTTTCTTCCCATATTGTTCACGAGTTTTTCTTGAATTTCCTGTCAAATTCTTTTCAAAGTTATAACTGACGGTTTGTTGCCCCTTTCTCAGTGTGTAGCTTCTTTGTTAAAATTGGTAGTACAAGAGATTGAGCAGCGAGTTTCAAAACATGCTGAAAGTTTTAGAAAGGTTAGTCCTTAATTATTACTTTCCCAGCAAGAGTTTCTTCTTGTTGTTTCGATATTTGCTGATGAGTTTGTATGTCATTCTGGCTGCAGCAAAGCAATTTGTACAAGTCTCGCGAAGAGAAGTATCAGTCTAAAATTAGAGCACTTGAAACTCTTACAACCGGAACAACTGAAGAAAATGAGGTAGTATGAGAAGTTTTATGTGTTCAACACCTGGGATTTTTCTTTTTGAATTTCTCATTCAACTTCATGTTTGTGGCTTTGCTGCTTGCAGATTGTGATCAACCAGCTTCAGAAGATAAAGGTTAGTGTCTTGTACTTACGAGCATGGTACAGCATTCTCCTTGTTTGTATTGCCTTTCCAGCTAAATCTGGGGTTGTGAGTTCCTATCTTCTGCCAGTCGTTGATAAGAAAAGAAAAGATAGATGAGTAATTCTATTAGAGTTCTTGAAAGAAAGGAAAAAAAATGAAGTACAGAGCCTTTATCTGTGTTATGTTTTATAAATGCACCATTATAGATATACTCATTCCATTACTGGCTTCTTCCTCGCAAAGAAAAGCATGAAGAGATGAAAGGAAGAAGCTTGTACACAATAAGCACTTGACTTGGTATCTTTTAAACAAGGATGCCAGATATATCTGCACTGTCATAGGGACTGTTAGGCTTAACAAGTGACTTGAAAGGAGAATTGGATTTTGATGCCTTTTGAGAACTGTCATCACAGTTTGCTTGCCTTGTGTCTTACCTGTTAGGCATAGTTTAGCACAATGCCTGCCCCTATCACATCCTCTTCAAACACGATGTCAGTCCATATAATTCTGCCTGCTTACTGCTGAGTTTATTTTTTTCTTTTCCTCTGAAATTCCTAGA